AGATCAATGCAAAGAAAGGTAGTGAGTTGTGGCAGCTGGACACTTTTTACACAGGGACACATGGACATGTTCTGCACATGGACATGTGGGCACAATTTGCAAGCACACAGATCTTTTGCTTACAGAGGCAGGTTTTGCCCGTGGATTCTTGGACATGTGGAAACGCTTTGCACACAGACACATGTTCTGCACTTAGACACGTTTTGCACACCGACACGGACGCGCTGCGCACGTGGACAAACGGGCATATTTTGCATGTGGACATACATTGTACCCGGACACGTGTTTTTCAGGACGCCCGTACAGGTTTGCACACTGATCCCTTCTGCACATGGACACATGGCACGGTCTGCACAAGAGCAAATATTTTGCACACGAACGCACGTTCGTCCAGAAAAGCCCGAGGCGGCGACCGTGGAGTCGGACGCAGGTAGGTGCGGCGTGGCGCTGGCCCGAGGCCCGTCCTGGAGACGCGCCGGCGGGGCGATGAACTACAACTCCCGGCTCTAAGCCACCTCGGCCGGACGCGCTGCGACGCCAAACGGCCCCGCCCAGCGGGCGGTGCGTTATCCACCCAGGTTCCCGCGGCGGTGCGAGTGGCGGAGCCGCGGACTGGGGCGCGGGAGCCGGTGTCATGGAGCCCCGCGCCTCGGACGGTAGCTTCCTGGGCGATGTGGGTACGTGCGAGGCGCTGGGGGCGCGGGGCCGGCTCCGGGGGCCGAGAGCTGCATCTGGTGACATTCGCCCCCAGCGGGGACGCGTCCTGCTCTGAGGGGTGGCCAGGGGCGTCTGGCCGGGACTGGGTCGGTTGGGTGGGCCGTGCCCTTAAAGGAGCAGCTCCGGGGGTCCCGTGCAGCTCAGACGCGGTTTCTGCGTCCCGCTCCAGGTTCCCCCGTCGTCCCGCGGGTCGCAGGGCTGGTCATCCTTGTGACTTCAGAACCGCAGACGTAAACCGGCCCCCCCCCCCCCCCCCCCCCCCCCCCCCAGCTTCCCGAGCGCCCAGCAACCTGGGGAGGATGCTGGGCTGTGCGTGGTCACAGGCAGATTCCGAGGAGAACCTAAGAAGTGCCCACGTGGGACCACTGGTAGGGCAGCCGTGGTACCAGGGTTGGAGCAGACTGCCTTCCAGGCACCCAGTGGGAGGGTTGTGCGCGGGGTCGTTAGCATCCTACAGAGACACCCAGGAATCCGATCAGGACGGAGCGTGTGCCCGTGTCGCACTGTGTGAGACATGCGAACTTGATTCTTGGTTGAGCCTTCCCTAGAATAAAATGGATGCGAGGGCAAAGGGCCATTCTCAGGGGAAGCAAGCCTCCCTGCCTACCGAGTAATTCTAGGGCAAATGACGTGAGCAGTGAAAACACTTTGAAAGCCTGGAAAGAAAAATCTATACAGTACTTTTATGCTCATAAAAATGTAGTGCGAATAAAAGTGAGAAGTCTTAAGGGTAAATTTAGCTTAAGAGGAATTGCAGTCCTAGCAAAGCAAAGACATTTTAATGATGTTGCAAAACAGCCACCTTCAGCAAGACCAAAGTCATTTAATAAGCATCTCTGTTTTTACTTGGCATTCTCATCCTAGGCAAGCACAGGACTTTGACCCTGCCAGTGTGAGCTGTGTTTGGTTGGTTCAATGAAACAGGCAATGAACAGCTGACCACGGACACCTATTTAAACACAATTTAGTATTTTTGTTCATGTACAAGGTTCAGTGGCTTCCCTGGTGGCTCAGTGGTAAAGAATCCTCCTGCAATGTAGGAAATGCAGGTTCCATCCCTGGGTGGGGAAGATACCCTGGAGGAGGAAATGGCAATCAATTCCAGTATTGCCTGGAAAATTCTGTGGACAGAGGAACCTGGTGGGCTACAGTCCATTGGGTCACAAGAGTCAGGAATGACTTAGTGACCAAACAACAATAACAACAAGGTTCAATAGCACTGCATCATGCCTGGGTATGTTTTTTGTACAGTTTAAGGAATGTATCTTTAGAGAATAATCAACTCTGAATATTCATTGGAAGGACTGATGCTGAAGCTCCAATATTTTGGCCACCTGATAGGAAAACCCAACTCATTGGAAAAGACCCTGTTGCTGGGAAAGATTGAGGGCAGGAGCAGAACGGGGCAACAGAGGATGAGATGGGCAGACAGAATCACTGACTCTGTGGACATGAATTTGAGGAAACTCTGCGAGATAGTGAAGGACAGGGAAGACTGGCATGCTGCAGTCCATGTGGCCGCAAAGAGTCAGACACGACTGAGTGACTGAACAGCAACATTCTAAACTAATGGAGGATGCAAAGTTTCTGAGGTTCATGGCTATTTTTGACTTTGCCATGGTTTTATGTCATGTATTTCTTCCAAAATACATTTCATCCTGCTGACATTTTTATTCTCAACACAAATGAATAAACTCAATGTGTTGAATCCAAAACAGCGCTACCATCCCATTAGAAGCAGAGGACCATCGTAGGAACTTTAACTCATGTTAATATTCTGATCTCAAATTCTCTGTGTGTGGTATACTCTAACCAAACCACGTAGCCTTAATATAACACTATAACACTTCACAGAGGTAAAGGCAGCAGTCCTATAATATAGGCTTACCAATAAGATAAGAACCAAGAATTTAGGGCCAGTCCCATTATAAAGTGAATCCAGTCTTTGTTCCTTAGCAAATGTAATTCACATCATTGTCTGTTTGCAAAGTTGAAAAAGTGACTCCTGATTTCAGCATCTGTACTCATGGGCTTCTGACTTGGAAGCTAGAGGCTGGCAGAAGATGAAAGGATTCTTCGCTTATCCTCAGCCTCTGGGGTGTTGGGAAGGTGGCATGGAGAGAGAGAGGGGGAGGCAGCCCTGGGACCAAGACACCCAGGGACCGCGGTGAGAGCCACTGAGCTGCTCGGCTGTGTGCAGGCACTGACTATGAGCCCTGCAATGGCTGCAGGACACTCATCGTTATCCATAAGTTAGAGGTGAAACTGAATTCGCACAGCCAGCAAGTCACAAAGTTGAGGGTTTTTTTTTGTTTTTTTTTTTTAATATTTATTTGGCTGAGCTGGGTCTTAGTGGTGGCAAGCAGATTCTTCAGTTGCAGCATGTGTGGTCTAGTTCCCTGACCAGGGATTGAACCCGGGACCCCCTGCATTAGGAACACAGAGAGTCTTAGCCACTGGACCACCGAGGGAGTCCCCAAAGCTGAGGTTTTAATGCAAGCAGTTCTTTTTGGTTTTGCCTGTTTTATGTTACAAGGCTCATGTCTCTCTTGTCAGATAAGATCATCTGTAATCGATGTGTAGTGCTGGGTGGGTTTGTGACTGGGATGGATGCATGTTGTCTGCATCCAGGTTCTCAGAGAGCTGGGGAGCACCTTTACCATCTATCATCTCTGCATGATGTCGCTTTCAGGCTCTGAGAAACGTCTTTGCCTCTGGGTGTCCACAATCAGGATGGTAGGTCAATCTGCATCCCCACTCAAGTCTCCAAGTTCACCCTTCTGTTGAGTCTGCAGAATCCGATGGGTTTTGTTTGTTTGTTTGTTTTCTCTCTCTTTGTTTTTGGCCTTGCTGGATGGCTGTGGGATCCTAGTTCCCCAACCAGGGGTTGAACCCGGGGCCCTGGTAGTGAGAACACTGAGACCTAGCTACTGGACTGCCAGGGAATTCCGGGATTTCATTTTCTAAAATTAGAATTGTAGTGAAAGTACTTTAAGAGATCTAGATAATCGGTGCCCTGGCTGGGAGATCAACTTCCTTGAAAATCTTCTCAAATTGTGCATCTTATTTCTGCCTTAGAGAAGGCTGCATTCTAGAAGTGTCTAGTTAGTGGAGAATCCTCTGGGCCATGCATTACACTACGAATAAAAATGTTTGAAGGAAATTGGGTTGATTTTAATACCAGTTGGTGTTCTGGGCACTCACTGTGGCCAGGAGTGGCTGCCAACTACAGCAGTACAAAGGAGTTTTGATTTTTTGGTATAACCGTCCTCCCCAGCTCACACCCCTGAGTCCTAAGCACTGTAGGGAAGGGGTTGGGGCGGCACATTATTGGATGAGTGGTCAGGAAGGTTGTGGAGGGAGGGCAAGGGTCTGATTCCAGCATTTCTCATAAAATGTGTTTAAGAAGCTCTTTTCCTGAGCACTTGTCTCATGCCTCCAACCTGGGCTGGTGGTCTGTTTCACCCTTGATAGTATACTTGTTTCAATGCTATTCTCTCAGAGACAAGTGCTCGGGGCTGGTGCACTGGGAAGATCCAGAGGGATGGGATGGGGAGGGAGGCAGGAGGGGGGATTGGGATGGGGAACACATGTAAATCCATGGCTGATTCATGTCAATGTATGGCAAAAACCACTACAATATTGTAAAGTAATTAGCCTCCAACTAATAAAAATAAATGGAAAATAAATAAATAAATAGATAAAAAAGAAGCTCTTTCCCTCCCTTTCCCTGGCTGTCTTCCACTGCTTCTGTAACCTCTTCCCACTCGTCTCTTTTGCTTTCACTTTTTCGCTTTCACTTTCGTTTTCCCTCTTAACTAAGCTTTGCCTTGTTCCTGTAGGAAGGTAAACCTTTTCTCTTTAAAATTTTTACCCAATTTAACACATTATAAAAACCATGAGGTATGCCACTTGACCTCAAGTTTACCAACAAACAATATTGGGGTACTGATAATGAAAACACTGAAAAAAGACCTTGCTCAAAAAATCTCTTCAAAAGCAACAAAACTCTCAGCCCCAAGTGCTAAGTAAAGGTTTCTATTAATACATATGAAAATGAAGATTTCTGTCTTCCCTTAGAGTCAAGGTGACTGGTAGTTTCAAGCACTGCTACTGCTAAGTCACTTCAGTCATGTCTGACTCTGTGCGACCCCATCCCTGGGATTCTCCAGGCAAGAACACTGGAGTGGGTTGCCATTTCCTTCTCCAATGCATAAAAGTGAAAGTGAAGTTGCTCAGTCATGTCCGACTTCGCAACCCTACGGACTGCGGCCTACCAGGCTCCTCCTCCTCGGTCCATGGGATTTTCCAGGCAAGTGTACTGGAGTGGGGTGCCATTGCCTTCTCCAAGTTTCAAGCACACTGACCTTGAATTCGGACAGCTCTGTAAGACGCGTGGTCGTAATCAAGCATTTAATAAGCACCACCTGTGCCCAGCTATCTGCATGCATGTGTCATTGTTCCCCAAGGCATCTCACAGAGAGGTTTACCATTCTCAGGTGGTGGTCTCTCTGTCCTTCTGGGTCTTCCGCCCTATTTTGTTTTTTCACTCCTTTACTATTAGATGGGTGGGTACACTTTGCCATGATTTCTAGGTCCTTTTAGCTCTTCAATTCATCTTTTCTTTGTATCCCCAAATCCTTGGCCTTCTAGGACTTTGGGGGACAAGTCACTGGGGACCCCTGACTTTCCGGAGAGCCCACTGAGAGCAGGCCTCGGAACACCAGCTCTGCTGTGGCTTCAGTGACCGCTCACCCTGGCTATATCCCCATAAAGGTGCCCCGCAGCTGTGCATGGGGTAAGGGAAAGCTTACCTGACATCATTTCAAGAATATTTACTGGGATATTTGGGGAGAAGGCTTATTTCAATCTCTGCAGTGAGGGTCCCAGGCTGCCCTTCATGACAGACTTGGAGCCAGATTATGGCCCAAGTGACACTGAAGGGTGCCTGGTGGATGCTGAGCTGTTGGATCCGCTTGTGATGGAGGTGTTCTCTGTGGTCTTTGGAAAACACTCTTTGTTAGAATGAAGCTGCTGCGTGGAGGGGCTGCCTGGCTGGGGAGGAGTGGTCAGGGTCAGAGTCAGGGCCAGCACAGGGGCCGGGCTCTGGACTCCAGACAGTCGGGTAGGGCCGATGGGAGCTCTGCTCTGCATGTGGGCCAGAGGCCTGGCAGGCCATGCCTGCTGGAGGGACAGGCTCTCGGGGAGGGCCAGAGGGCCTGTGGCTGAGAACTGCTGTTTGGGCTCAAAGAGCTGGATTCTGGGCTCTGGATGACTAAGCGGGATACTGGTAAATTGGCTCTCTGGAGAAAAAGGAAAAAAAAAAAACAAACAAAAGGAAAAGCCTATTCTAATTTGCTGCTTCCCCTGGTGTAAATATTCACCCGTGCTGACTCCAGCTCCCAGAGGCTTCCACCCGGCCAGATTGCTGGCTATTTGGATGGAGGGTCTCGAACACCCACCCCTGGGCGGTGTGTAGAGGAGGCAGGCGGTGTCTTCCGGGGACTGTGGCCTTGGCTCTCTTGCAACAGACTCCCGTCTGACTGATGCCCTGGCACGTGGCATGGCTGGAGTGGGCAAGGCCACAGGCATGGCCCAGGTCAGTGTCCGGGCTGGGCAGGCCTGTGATGGGCCGGTCGAGGGGTCTACTCTGGCAGTGGGAGACTGACCTGTCTACAGCGGGGGAAGTTCAGTCTGGCAAGTAGAACAGGCTCCTAGAGAGAATGTGTTTGTTCAATACCTGTGTGTCAGGTATGGTGATGGAATGGGAGGTGGGCAGCTGAGGTCCTCCCATGAAGATGCTTGTGGAAGGGGAGGAGGGGAGTCAGGGGCAGGTGTGTGTACGGGGGGTGGGGGGCTGCACACTGGAAGGTTCCATCAAGGAGCTGAGACCCAGCCTCAGTGGGGAGCAGTGGGGCTGAGTGGGGGACAGCACAACTGGACCCTCCATCACTGGACCCTCCGTCAGCTACCTGAGGCTCCGTGCGATTGGTGACAAGGGTGTGTGTGGGGGGGGGTGGTGAGATGGGAGGATGTGAGGGGCTGGGGGAGCCTGGAAAAAGGGGCTGGGACACCATCCTGGAGGGTCTGTATTCCTGGCCTGCAAAGGCATGTGGATTATGTGGATTATTCCAGAGACAAGAGCAAGGGTCTGAAGCAGGCCCCGCCATGACCTGCTGATGACATAGCTGCTAATTCTAAGTGGGGAGTGCTAAGTGGGAAGTGGGGAGGGGAAGACCAGAGGGGGTGTGATAGGAGGGAGGGGTTGATGGGAATGGGGAGCCAGGAGACCGATTATGTGGTAGGGCTGGGATTCAGGGGAAGTCTCATCCCAGAGGGAGGGTCTCAGGTTTCCAGGGCGGCCCCTCTCCAGTACTTTGGCCACCTGATGTGAAGAAACGACTCATTGGAAAAGACCCTGATGCTGGGAAGGATTGAAGGCGGGAGGTGAAGGGGACAACAGAGGATGAGATGGTTGGATGGCATCACTGATGTGATGGACATGAGTTTGAGCAAGCTCCAGGAGTTGGTGATGGACAGGGAGGCCTGGCAAGCTGCAGTCCATGGGGTCACAAAGAATCGGACACGACTGAGCAACTGAACTGACTGACCCTCTCCCAGGGGAGTGTTCCAGGGGTGGGGGCACCCTGTCATATGTGGGGTCCAGGCACAGGGCTGGAAACAGCTTGAGCTCAGTGGGTCCACTAGCATGCCTCTCTTCCCTGCAGGCTCTTTGCTTTAAGGTTGATAAGTATATTCCGACCCTCCCAACCTTTTCACTGTGGTAAGGGCGGGCATGCAGTGGTGGAGGGGGAGGGGTGGGGGCCACCGAGCTTCCCACTGCCAGCCAGTGAGCCTTCATGCAGCTGCACCTCCTTTCAGCCACAGGGCACCCCATGTTCTTTATCTCTGGGGTGGCTCTCTCCTCCCCTTTGCTTCCAGGGGTCTTCAGAGACCACTGAAACTGCCACTTCCCCCCAGCTCCCCCTTGCTGTAAGGCTGTCCCCTCTTGATGACACCCTGTGGTTGGTACCAGCTATGGTTAACACCTCCCCCACCGCTGGGGCCTCCTCCGTCTTTGTTACTTCCTTTTAAAAAGAATTTTTAAATTTTCACTCTGGCTAAAAAAACCCATAGAAATGGTGAAGATGGTCAGTTTTCATTGTGCAGTTCAGTAGTATGAACTACATGCACATTTTGGTATAATAGAGTTCTAGAATGTTTCATCTTTTAACATGGAAACTCTGCACCTGTTCACCTCCCCATTGCTCCCCTTCCCCTTTCCCCCCAGCAGCCACTATTCTATTTTCTGTCTCTATGACTTTGACTCTGGGAACCTCATGTAAGTGGAATCATACAGTATTTGTCTTTTTGTGACTTGCTTATTTCACTGAGCGTCATGTCCTTGAGGTTCATTTATGTTGCAGCCTGTGTCAGCGTCTCTTTCCTTTTTAAGGCTGAGTAATATTCCATGGTATGTATATATCATAGCTTCTTTATCCATTCATCCATCCATGGGCACTCAGGTACTTTCCGTATTATGCTATTGTAAATGATGCTGCAGTGAACGTGGGTACTTATATCTTATCAAGTTAGTGTTTGCAGTTTCTTTGGATAAAAATGGCTGGATTGTCTGGTAGTTCTGTTTTAATTTTTGAGGAACCGCAGTACTCCTGTCCAAAGTACCTGCACCATTTTGCTTTCCCACCAACAGTACACAAAGGTTCCAATTTCTCCACGTCTTTGCCAACATCTATTTTCTGTTCTTTTGATAGTAGCCATCCTAATGGGCGTGAGGTGGTAATCTCATTGTGGTTTTGATTTGCATCTCTGACGATTGGTGGTGAGCATCTTTTCATGTGCCTGTTGACGATCTGTATATCTTCTTTAGAGAAATATCTCAGTCCTTTGTTACTTTTTTTAACAGGTTATTTATGTTGTTGAGTTGTAGGCATTCTTTATTCTGATATATACAGTCCCCCTTCCCATCGGTGCCTTTCACTGTTGACTGTGGCCCCCAAGACACATAAATTCTCTCCTTTGTAATCATATCTGCTGCTTCTGATCTCTGCCCTCAGCTGCTGCTAAGACAAATGTAGCCGTTATTTATAAATTAGAAAATATGGTTCCCAGTAAGCTGCACTTCCTCTGTAGACTGATCAGAAAGAGATACAGTTAGATTTTCTTTAAAAAATTTTATATCCAGGCTTTATAATTCATATTAGTAGTTCCTCCCATTCATTTGTCCCTTATTCACTCAACAAGCAAGTCATGTGAGGGGCTTTGTGGGGCCTCACACTGTGCCAAGCACTGGGAATAGAGCCAGCAGGTGACGCCCGGCAGGCTGGCCATAGCCCCACCTCCTCTCTGATACCTTGCCGACAGGCCCTGGACACCCTGGACACGGGTCATCTTGCTTCTAAGTTCCTGTAACTTGACCTGTTTCTCCAGTACTGGAGTCATCCTGTGGTTTTGAATTGGTTGTCCACCCCCTGACCATGACGGTGAACTGCTTGCTCACTGTCATGTCCTTCCATCTTTGCGCTCCATGGTGGGGGAGGCTGTGTCTACCTGCACCGGCTGCACAGTGGATGCAAGGGTCTCCCCTGCACCCATCTTCCTGAGCTGCACTTTCCTCCTTCCTGCAAAACCCAGGGCCCTGCAAAACACTGCTCTTCTCTTCTGAGGGTTGCAGCTGCTCAATCTGCTCCCCCGAGATTGACCTGAAAGTGATCCACAACCGCTTTCCACTACCTACCCCCTCCAAAGACAGGCACTCAGGTGGCCACTCATTCCAACTGGGAACATACTGGGGTCTATTTCCGGGGACAGTAAGTACAAAGTGCCCCAAGCTTAGATTCTGCATCTGTGGGGCTCACATCTCCTGAGGCCTCTCTCCTGTGCTTGCAGACACCTGCCTTCTTGCTATGTCCTCATGTGATCTTTGCTTCATTCACCCAGATCCCTGGTATCTGTGTGTCCTAATGTCCTTCTTTTTCTAAGGACACCAGTCATACTGGATTAGGGCCCACACTAATAAGCTTGCTTTAACTTAATGACTTCTATAATTATGTCTCCAAATACCATCACATTCTGAGGTGTTGGAAGTTAGGGCTTCAACATATGGATTTGGGGGACACAGTTCAGTCCATAACAAACTGTATGCCAACAAATTAGATAACATAGATGAAGTACACAAGTTCCTAAAAAGAGGCAAACTTCAAACTACCAAAACTGACTCGAAAAAAAAAAAATTCTAAATAAAAAACTTAAAGAAAGCCCAGACCTAGATGTCTTCACAGATGAATTTTCCTAATATTTAAATATTTAATACCAGTTCTTCATAAACTCTTCCAAAACTTAAAGGGGAGAATACTTCCCAATTCATTCTCTAAGGCCAGTATTACTTTGACCCCAAAACCAGACAAATACATCAATCACAAGAAAAGTGACTCTTATGAACATAGACCCTCAAATCCTCAGAATTACGTGTGAACCAACTCTATCATATAAAAAGATTATACACCATGACCAAGTGGAATTTATCCCAAGAACACATGGTTGGTTGAACATCTAAAAATCAATTAATGTGTTACACCATTTTGATATAATTAAGAAGAAATAGCCAGCATGATCATTGCCATAGATCCAGATAAAGTACTTTACAAATCCCAACACCCTCTCATGATAAAAACACTCAAAAAACTAGAAATAGACGAGAATATACTTGACCTGATAAAGGACATCCATGAAGACCCACAGCTCATGTGATGCTTTGTGGTGAAGGGCAAAGCTATTTTTGGCTGCACTGCACAGCATGCTGGATCTTAGTTTCCCAAACAGGGATCAAACCTACATCCTCTACAGTTGACGCATGGAGTCTTAACAACTGGAGGACAAAGATTTTGCTCCAGGACCAGGAACAAGGCATGAGGTGTCTTTTGGTACTTCTGTTCAATGTGCAGCTGCACGTTCAAGCCAAAGCAATTAGGTAAGAAAAAGAAAAGGCATCCAGATTAGAGAGGGAGAAGCAAAGCTACCTCTGAATGCAGATGACATGATTTACCGTAGGAAATCCTGAGGAATCTGATAAAACTGAATAAAAAGAAGTCCTTGCTTTGAAGGCTCTCCCAGGCAAGGACAGGGGAAGTATAAATGCCATGTTATGTGTATATTGGTGCGAGGGTTGTGGAAGATGTATTTCCTGGAGAAGGAGATATCTCAGTTGGGTCCACGTGGACAGTATAACATCTAAACTAAGGAGATTGCAGAATGGATGGCTGGGGTGGGGGCAAAGGTGGGCTTCTCAAGCAGAGAAAATGTATGCAGAGACACAGGTGTGCTAGGGCAGGGAACCACAATGAGCCAGCAGTGTGGCTGGAAAACAGGCTTGTGGGGGGCAGTGGTAGGAGAGGGGTCAAGGAGGTGCCTCCCCAAAGACTTGGACTCTGCCCCCAGGCACTGGGGATCACTCAAGGATTTTGAATAGGGGTGCCTGGACCAATTACACTTTTCATGTATACAGTGGCTTAGGTTTCATAAAGGGTCCTGGGGTCATACATGTGTTCATTTGACCTTGACAGAAGTGGCATGGTCTTAGCATTACCTGTTTTCCTTTCCAGGTTTCTGGGTAGAGCGCACCCCTGTGCATGAGGCGGCCCAGCGGGGGGAGACCCGACAGCTGCAGCAGCTGATTGAGAGTGGGGCCTGCGTCAATCAGGTCACAGTGGACTCCATCACGCCCCTGCACGCGGCCAGTCTGCAGGGCCAGGTGCAGTGCGTGCAGCTGCTGCTGGCCGCTGGGGCCCAGGTAAGCCACTCTGTAGCACAGACTCCCACCCCCACCCCTGGAGTGGCAGGACAAGCTCTAGAGGAAAAGAGGCTTGGGAATACAGCACACAGAAAGAAAGGAAACCACTGCAGGAGGCTGAGAAGGAAAGGAAGGAGGAAACCAGAGTGGGCTGTAGAGGGGGCCGATCTCTATGGCAACCACACCCTGAGGACTGGTGAGGAAGCCTGTGGACTGGCTGTTGGGAGGTCATTGGTAACTGGGAGGTCACTGCAGATCTGGCTTTGCAGATGGGCCAGGCTGTGCACCTCTCAGAGGCCAGCTGCCTATGGGGCTGGTCGGGCCTTGGCTGCAGGAGCTGTTTGGGTGCAGAGAGCAGGATGATTACATGGGATGCTGGCAAACCAGCTCTGGAAAGGCCAGGTAGAAAGGAACAAAAGCAAGACTGACTCACTGCTTTCCCTAGTTAAGGACTCACAGCCGTACCAGGCATCGAGCTGGCGGAATTGCTGGGTCTTTACCAGCAGACTGGGCAGGCTGGTAGGAGCTGGCTTGGCTCCCATGGGACAGTGATGGGGGGAGGTGAAGAAGAAGGGAAGGCTGTGCACTGCTCACTCTTCCCAGAATTTGGCTATGACAGCAGTTCCAGAGGAAATGGAACAAGCTTCAGCGTGAATCCAAATAACAGCTGAATTTGGACGAATTCTAAGCGTAGTCTGCCAGTTTGGGGAGTTGCCTTTTCCTGCTCTGTGATTTTCCAGCTAGAAGAGGCATGGTTAGACAGTTTTGGGCACTCCTCCTAGATGGGGCTTGAATTAAAGCTGGTTTTCCTACCCTGCCTGTGCTAATGAGGTGTTGGGGTGGTGGAGGGAATGAGGCTGAGTTGAAAGAAAAGCCCTAAATCGCTTGCTGGCTGTACTTAGGTGCCTGTAGGCACGCCCTGCCGTCTGTCTGTGAATGCACTCGCCTGGTATGGTGCCTCAGCATGTAATGGTGTTCTTCACTCAGTCGTGTCCAACTTTTTTCAACCCTATGGACTGTAGCCTGTCAGGCTCCTCCGTACATGGGATTCTCCAGGAATACTAGAGTGGGTTGCCGTTCCCTTTTCCAGGGGACTTTCCCAACCCAGGAATTGAACCCCAGTCTCTTGCATTGCAGGCAGACTCTTGACCTTCTGAGCCACTGGGGAAGATATGTAATAGAAAACCTAAGGACTTAGGAGAACCACGCAGTGTCTTTGAAGAGATGAACATGCATCAGAGTGTGAGTGGCCGGCACCCTCTCCTCCACCCTCTGACACTTGTTACCCTCCCTCCAGGTGGATGCCCGCAACATTGACGGCAGCACCCCACTCTGTGATGCCTGTGCCTCGGGCAGTGTCGAGTGCGTGAAGCTCCTGCTCTCCTATGGGGCCAAGGTCAACCCGCCCCTGTACACAGCGTCCCCGCTGCACGAGGCCTGCATGAGCGGTGAGTTGGCAGAGGCCTTGATGCCAGGGAGGTTGTCCGATGGCTGGTGAAGCCATGGAATCCGGTGATGCAGTGCTTTTCCTCCTGGAGATGCAGTGCTCGCCCGGACTGAAGGCCGGGTTCTAGCCAGTCAGCACCTTTCAGATGCTCACCTGGGAATCGGGTGCCCCCTGCAGCCGCTCACCTAGCAGGCTGCCCTAAGAGTCCCTGATCTGGCAGGAAGAGGAGGCCCGGACACATCCTCGAGGCAGATGCTCTCTGAGGAGCTGGGCGCTGGTGGTTTTTAGCTGCCCCTGGAGAAAGGATGGATTTCAGAGGGTGGGAGGACGCAGCTGCTCCAATCTCACTGGGTCAGACACGCTCAGGAGAGGAGCTATGACAGGCAGAACTGGAAATTTAGGGTGAGACCAGAAGGCCAGAAATATTTGAGAGACTAGACTAGGCAGTTTGGATTCCACTGTTTGGAGCAAAGTTTGCACACCTGTCCTGGGCTTTGGCGGGCGCAATGCTCTGGCTCGCTGCGCTTGTTGGGACCTGGGCTCTTCTGTGGCTCCCCTGTCTCTGCTGCTTGCACCCTGAATCCCACCGCCGGGTCACCTTTGTCGATGGGGACCGCTTCAGGCAGCTCTGAAGGTTTTTGAGTAGATGCTGAATGCTAGGAACATTTTTGAAAGATTCGTTTAGCAGCCATCCATCCATGCACAGCATGGGGAAGAGAAGTTTTTTTTATTCCTTCACTCATCTTAGGTTCACTGGCAGGCTCCTGCCAATGAGAAGGACAAGCGACAAGGGACGGATTAAGAAGAGAAAACCAAGCAGAAGTTAGTGTGTGCATTGCACATACACACAGGAGAGCTCAGACAGAGGGTGGTTAGATTTGATGTGGGGGAGAGGACAGCCCAAGGTCCAGGTCAACTCAGGGTGAGGAGGAGGCTGGCTGGGGAGTGGAGAGGACCTGGTCATGGGGGACGAGTCCACATGAAAATGGCCATAGCCTGGTGGTGGAGATGGAGCAGGCATGATCAAGAAATGAGAGAGGATGGAGTCTGGGATGGATGGAGCCCGACCCCAAACTTGAGTTAAAGATGCTGGAGAAAAGCCAGGAAAGAGGCCAGAAAAGTGTCATCTGGGAGGAGACAGGGAACCCTGCGGTAGGAAAGTTTAGGGAAGTTCATCCAGGCAGCTTGGCATTTCAGATACAGCTTGGGGAGCAACCAAAGGTGGGGAGACCCTTCTCTCCACGGGGGTGGGGAGCTTTGCGTCCACAGCTGGTGACCAAACTTTGTGTTCTCCCAGCGCCGGGTACACGTCCGTGCGGCTCTTCCCTTGTCCCCTTGCCTGGCGGACTTTGGGGGATGGCGTCGAGCTCCCCAGGGAAGGACTCCCACCCCCTGCTCCTGTGGGTTGCAGCTCACCTCCCCTGTCTCCTGCTGCCGCCAAGCTCGCTCCAGCCACGCTTGTTGCTTCAAATACACGCGGCTTTTTTCTCCGCGTGATCACAAGGCTTTCTCCTCTGCCTCCGTTTCTTTTAAGGAAGTTCCGAGTGTGTGAGGCTTCTGATCGATGTTGGGGCCAACCTGGAAGCGCACGACTGCCACTTTGGGACCCCTCTGCACGTTGCTTGCGCCCGCGAGCATCTGGACTGTGTCAAAGTGCTGCTCAATGCGGGTTCGTAGTCTTTGTGCCCTCCCCCCCAACCCCGCCTCCTGCCACCGACCCCTCCACCCCAGCCCCGGGCTCAGCGCAGCCGCGTTTCCACCTGCGCCGCCCGCTGCCGCAGAGCGTTGACTGCGATTCTGGGGAGGGGCTGCTGCTTTCTTGTCCGTATTTCTTGGCGATCTTTGACCCCACTCCCGACCCCCCGCAGGGGCCAATGTGAATGCAGCGAAGCTCCATGAGACGGCGCTGCACCACGCGGCCAAGGTGAAGAACGTGGACCTCATCGAGATGCTCATCCAGTTTGGGGGCAACATCTACGCGCGCGACAACCGGGGGCGGAAGCCTTCGGACTACACGTGGGCCAGCAGTGCCCCGGCCAGGTGCCTGGAACACTATGAGAGTGAGTGTGTGCACAGTGGCTCCTGGCGCCGCGTCTGCTCTCTGGGGTTGCGGGGCCTGCTTGCGGGAGCCTCTGAGATGATAACGATCGGGTCGTCCCTTTACTCAGACGGGTCCCTGCGATTATGCAGATACAGGCCCGGATCTTCAGCCAACAGAGGACAAACCACCAGCTAAGACAAGGCCTCCTCTCTGGGGCACATTTTTAAGAGTTTACATGGAATAGCAGTCACAAGAGGCTTTCAAATACCAATTGGGAAAAAAAAGCACATTGATTAAACATTTTGCCAACCTGACGCAACCAAAATCCAGCATGGATTGAGAGTCTAATACCATCCACATCTGTCCAGAAAACATTTTCTAGAAGGTGTTTTCTCTTCCTGCATCCAAATAATTTAGGAGGAAGTAACTGGGAAAAGGAATGTCACCAGTAATTCATTTTCCTTTCAAAGAGGTTTTTCTTTCTAACATTTCGTAAGTTGAGAATACTCTCTTTGGTTAATATATATTGATATTTTGATCAAACACTCATGGTCCTAAAGGCAGCTGTTGGGGCCAGGCTCTGCTCTGTACACGTTCCTATGGCCCAATGGTCAGGGGCCTCCAGGCATGTTCCTTCTTTGGCCCTGGTGTGTGTCCCTCATGAGCTGTAGCTCCAGGCTTCATCTGCAGGCCTGTGGTCCTGACCCTTTGCCCTGTGGGTCAGTTCTTCATGGGTCCCTGTGGCTGCAGAGGGACAGAGCAGAGCCCCTGGAGCTTGGAACTGCCGGGGTGGGCAGCCAGCCTTGGCTGCCTGAACCCTTGCCCAACCCTCATCTGTCTGGAAGTTTGACAAATAAGCCTACTGGCTGCAGATTACTGCTTTGCTGACGAATCCATGTGCTCAGTTATAACATTATGGCCCCGCCCCCACCCCCAAAATCACAAAAGCCAAAAAAAAATCCCCCAAAAGCCCAAAGCCCACAAAATGAAATCCCAGGGGCCATCAGCTGAATTCTATTTCCTGATCTTCTGTCCTGGGTCCCAGTCCCTGGCTGTCCTTCCTGGCTGCCTTCCAGAGAGGGTAAACAGGGTTCATCATTTCTGCAGGAAAGGGGAGGTGTCTGCAGTTCTGTCCTGGCTCTTGTTACGCTGAAGGATGCTGCACTCCTTCCTCAAGCTGACCTCACGTACATTCTGTCTCTTTCTGCAGAGACCCCTCTTAGCCTGTCTCAGCTCTGCAGGGTGAGCCTGAGGCGGGCAGCCGGCGTCAGAGGGCTGGAGAAGATCGCCAGGCTGGACATCCCTCCCCGGCTCATTGACTTCCTCTCCTACAACTGAGCTTCAGGTGTGAGGTCCAGGTGGCTGGTGACTCGGGGCTGAGGGGGGCTCTCTGCCCTCGACGTTGGAAACTGTGCCGCTGCTGTGAAGAACAGCACCCCGAGTCCCTCTAGGCCGACCTGTTTCATCTTCTGTGCAGACCCTTGGAGGATGTTCCAAGGTCCTGGGAAAGGCCCGGGGCTGGCCCTCCCTGGACTTCAGTCCAGCTTCCTCTGGCTTCCTCCTGGCTGTGCCAGTGTCTCTCTTCATGACCTTCCTCGGAGGGACTCTCAGGACAGACTCTCCAGAAGCACGGGGTGGGGCCGGGTGGGGCTGGGAGGCCAGGGCTCTGATTCCAATTCCACACACCTGGGAGGTACCACTCCTGATTCCTTCAACATCGGGTGGCCCTGATGTGCAAAGGGAGGAGCCTGCACTGCAGGGGGTGGGCCCCTGGGAGTGGGTTCCGGCCGGGCCCGGGACAGTGCTTTGGGGACAGCCTGCCCCCTTGGATGCTGTTTTCTGGAGCCACGGTTGGCACCTTGTGAGACCCACCTGTGCCCAGGTATGCCCATCACTCAGGGGGCTTTATACAGGTCTCAGTGGGGAAGCATCAGGCTTCTGATTCCCACAGTGTTTCTTAGGAAGTTTTTCTCCAATCTGAGGTCTCAGCTCTTTTAAAAAGTGTATGCAGATGATGAAAACTTTTAGACACATGCGCTGTAGCACTTAGATTTCGTTAACAAGTCTGTAAAGCAACAGGTAACAGGAAGGCGTCTTAGCACATCCTCCCTGAGGTAGTGATTTCCAATGTGAAGCACCATTGGGAAACTCTTTAGAGACTGTTTTTCATCTTTCTACAGCTGCTAAATGAATCCTTTGCCCACCCCAAGTTTTGCTAATTTCCTGAAGCTCTGCAGTTGGCAGAAGAGGTCACGTCACCCTCTGCCAGGTCAAGCGTTGATTCATACATTTTTTGTGGGCACTTAAAGAACATCTGAGCTTCAGGCACTGCCTTGGTGCTGTGAGCTGGACAGGAATCAGACTCGTCATCCAGTCAGGGCGAGAAAGTGTTGCACAATCTGTTTTTAGTAATAGAAAGAAGCAAGTAATTCTACATTATAAACCATGAGGTGACATGACATAGTATGTTCAAACTGTATCTGTCTGCTTAAGATTCTGTATCATAATTTAAAATCTCAGGGGTTAAACTAGAGGACGTTTGTATAAGTAGTTGAGGTCTATTTGGTTTGAGGGGCAATGGAGAAAGTACCTGTTGTAAACTCTCTTGTGGGTCAGGCCTCAAGCCAGTGTCCCCAGAAATGTTGACCTCACCAGGTTCCCCCGGAGAGTGTGGGGGGAAGAATGAGCCTGGTGGGTCAAGGTCACGCCAGCTGTGCTGACGGCCAGGGGCTCCTCTTGGCAGGGCTACATGGGTGGGGCCCACACGTGGTGGAAAGTTCTGTGCTGGCAGCCGTGGGTATTTTCAGCTCCACTGCTCAGGCTGTTAGGATGGTGCTTCCTCGTACGAGGAGATAAGAGCCGCTCCCATTTGCTGCAGGTGTAGATATGTGTTCTGGGTCAATCAGTGTATCCGTGTGCACTAATCACACACACACATACAAATCGCTGGGTTCTGCCCTTTCATCTTTGTAACAGGAACTTGCCTTGGTCCGTGAAAGCTGCTAACGTTTCCACATGTGGGACACCGGGGGCAGAGCCTGGTTCCCGCACTCCCTGCTCAATAAAAGTGGTCAGGATGAGTCCATCCTTGTGTGCACCTGGCCCTTTTCTTATTGGGGGCGGGCAGAATCATGGGCTGGTCTTCATCCAGGGAGAGCCAGAGGGGCTGCTGTCATCTCCCCTGGGTCTCGGCCAGTCCTGGACATGGGTCTCCCTCACCCCTCTTCTAGCCGCTCCTCTCTTGTTGCTGGTCTCCATGCTCCCGCGTGTGGGGAGACCCTGCCCAAGGGATCAGATGACTAATATTCCAGGGCTTCCTGTAGCTGCCTCCCACTTTGTTGAGGTGTAACTGATGAGTATAGACCCCTCCGTAGGACTGGCTGAAGACACATCTCAGCCCTCTGAGCCTGGGTCTTCCCGGCTGAAGGAGAGGGATCAAAGATCAGACTTTGATCATTGAAAGGATATGATGATCAACCACCAAATCTCATGGATGAGAATTATGAGCCAGTTAGGCTCAGATGTTTTTATGAAGCCAAAATTCAGTGATGAGATGTTGCCTTTAAAACAATGACATGCTTCTCAATGTTAAAGTCTTACGTATGACTGTACTTTATTGTATGTATGACTGTGGCTTTGTTGATGTGTAAACCTCTTCCCTGGTGATGCCAGTGGTAAAGAACCTGCCTGCTAATACAGGAAACATAAGAGACATGGGTTCGACCCCTGGGTCAAGAAGATTCCCTGGAGGAGGGCATGGCAACCCACTCCAGTATTCTTGCCTGGAGAATCCCATGGACAGAGGAGTCTGGCGGGCTGCAGTCCATACGGTTTCAAAGAGTTGGATATGACTGAAGCAACTTAGCACATGCACATATCTTACAACCAGGTAAACAATTCTCTTCTGACTTTGAGGTAGGACCACCTATTTTAGGAGTAATCTACTCAGAACACCCCTCAGTTTACATTTTAAAACTCAAATGTGCACATAAGAAACTATATTCAATATGCTGTGATAAACCATAATGGAAAAGAGTGTGAAAAAGAATATATATACAGACTGAGTCACTTTTCTGTACATCAGAAATTAACACAACACTAAATTAACTCTACTTTAAAAAATTAAAAAAAAAAAACCTAATGTGCAGCTGACAGATTTGGAGAAAATATATGCGATATAGTAACAAATGACTACTGATCAAAATATGTAAGGATATTCTAGAAATCATTCAGAGGAAGATTAACAACCCCCCCCCCCCCCACAGCAGGCAAAGACTGTGAACAAGAGATTTACAGAAGAGGAAACCTCAAATGTCCCATGACAGGAAAGGATGGTCAGTAGTGATGACGGAAATGCACATTAGTGAGTACACACTTCAATGAAATGATACCGTTAAGTACCATCATCTTAACAAAAATGAAAATGGATATTGGGCAAATGGCAATTCAGACAGCCAACTGGGGTATAAATTGGTACGTGTGGTTTAGAAAGCTGTTAGATGGTATTGCTAAAAGTGCTTATACCACAATTGTACAGTAGCTCTACTTTCTGTTTTTTTCTTCTAGTTGCATTGTAATTGACATACAGCACTATATGAGTTTAAGGTGTACAACACACACAGTGAAATGATGAGCACCTTAGATTTACTGAACATGGATCATCTCATATAGATACAACATTAAATAGAAAATTGTTTTCCTTGTGATGAGAACTCAATTTACTTTTTAAACAACTTTTATATAATACATAGCAGTGTTATCTTTATCATGTGTGTTACATCTCTAGCACTTATTTATCTTGTAACTGGAAGTTTGTCCTTTTTTAAAAAAAATTATTTTTGGCTGCACTGGGTCTTCATTGCTTTGCAAAGGCTTTCGCTAGTTGCAGCGAGTTGGGGCTACTCTGGTTTCGGTTCACGGGATTCTCACTGCGGTGGCTTTTCTTGTTGTGGAGCACAAGCTCTTGGTGTGCAGGCTTCAGTAGTTGCAGGGCGTGGACTCAGTAGCTGTAGCTCATGGGCTCTAGAGCACAGGCTTAGTAGTTGTAGTGCCTAGTTGCACGGTGGCATGTGGAATCTTCCTGGATCAGGGATTGAACTTGTGTCTCCTGCATTGGCAGGAGGATTCTATCCACTGTGCCACCAGGGAAGTCCTAGAACTTGTCCTTTTTTGACTACCTTCATCATGCCTTCCTCGTAGTATTTCTGTTTTGGCAAATATACCTGAAGGAACCCTCACGTGTTTCATAAGCAGATGGGTGGCAATGTTTAGGGTCACAATGCATGTCAGAGTGAAAGACCTCAGCATCAGAGAAGCTGTAGAATAAATTTGCATATTCACTTAATGCTTATGCGCTATGACTGTTAAGATGAATTAGTTACATCAGTTTAGTTCAGTCGCTCAGTTGTGTCAGACTATTTGTGACCCCATGGACTGTAGCATGCCAGGCTTCCCTGTTTATCACCAACTCCCGGAGCTTGCTCAAACTCATGTCCATTGAGTCAGACATGGTTTACATGGTCTGCCACTAATAGATCTAAAAATTATAACGGCCAATGAAAAAAAACTGCCAACCTTATTTAAGTATAGTATGAATCCATTTGTATAAAGTGAAATACAAGATACACTGAGCATCTAAGGATATATGTGTGTTCAGTGACATCGCAGAACCCACATGATAACCTTCGAGTCTAAGCATTTGAGTTCCTTTATTCAGGAAAATGAGCTTAAGCCTGGCTCCCATTGCAGAGCTCACCGGCCCATGTTGTGGGCAGCTGTGCTGACCACGGGAGTGCCAGCAGGCTACCTGCTTCTCCACTCTGAAGCATTGACTGTCCTTTCCATGATGGCCTGGAAAATGCTTCCAGACCCTGCAGACTTTTTTTTCCCTCCTTTCTCAGTATGAGTACCATGTGGCATTGACACCTAAGCCCATGTTATGCTGGCATCAAAAGTCTTGTGATCTCTGGCAGCTTGAATGCAAATATGTCTTAAATTGGTCCAATCTAAACAGGACATTAGAAGCCTAATGTCTCAAAACCACAAATAAAGGAGGAGAAGCTGTGACAATCTCTCTCTCATACACACATCTCCTTCTTCATACACTCTGATTTTCCGGCAGCTGGTCTCTAGGTGTGCGGTTCTCATGAACCACAGACTTCAGAGAAGAGAACTGGCAACAGCTCTGAGCTGGGTGTGCAAGTAGCATAGCCCTCTGCTTTCTGCACGATCCACAGAGAAATTTCCCCTTGCTTCTCGGTGTTCACCGAATCTGGAGGCTCATACTGCTGTGGTGGAGACAGGGTGCTGGATGAATGAGACGAAGAATGTCCTCTTGGCCCTTGGTCCACTTTCCCTTTCATTCCTTCCTTCCACACATCCTTCCTTCCATCCATCTACACTTCTTTTTAAATTATTTTATTTATTTTTGGCTGTGCCGGGTCTTCATTGCTGCGGGGGCTTCCTCTAGTTGCAGTGAGTGGGAGCTACTCTCTAGCTGTGTGTGGGCTTCTCGTGGTGGCTTCTCTTGTCATGGAGCAGAGGCTCTAGGGTGCATGGGATCAGCGGTTGTTGCTTCAGGGCTCCGTAGTTCAGGTGCCTGGGCTCAGCTGCTTCATGGCACGTGGGATCTTCCCAGACCAGGGATCAAACGCATGTCTAGTGCGTTGGAAGGCAGATTCCTTACCACTGAGCCACCAAGGAAGCCCTGTTTTGTTTATTTTTTCAAACTGATTATTCTATCTTAGGTTCTCCACTGGGCACTGAAGATACCAGTAACGCCACCAAAAGCAAAAGCTGACACCCCAAACAGAAGCACAAGTCCTGGCCCCGAAGGACCTGAGTCTGTTGCTCAGGGAACAGACATAGGAAGTATATCTGGGAGCGGAGGCAGGAAGGGGTCGTGAGCCCCACACGGGAAGGAGGCCCAACTTTGCTCTTAGAAGAGAAGGAGAGAGATGACCTTGACTCCGTTTCTCATGTCTTGGGTAAATAAATATTTACAATTGCATTCATTTTTCTATCCATGGTGCTATGGAGTTTACCAAGCTTTATAAGGACTTGTAGTATTGGCAGCACTCTTCTGGAGCCAAAGACTGACTGATACAGCTTCTCTTTTGTTTCATTTCATACACTTCTCCCAAACACAGAAACCAGAGAGTGAAGTTTAACCCCGTGGGATTTTACACATGTAAAGTGTTCACTATAAACATTTCTTGTGCTTACTGCTTCCAAAGGCCTGGAGGAGACTTTTACAAAGGGCCAAACTGGGAGAAGGGAGCCAGAACTTCTGCCTATGAGTCATCATGCAGAACACATGTGGGTGATTTTAAACATTGAAATTAACTGAGCTATAGGCGAAAAATCATCACAGGCTACCTTCAAAGAGTCTAATCATTAGTCTTTTTTTTTTCACTCTTCGTTTGGAGAGTCGGAGGGGTCCTTTGCTTCTTTTTTTTTTAAAAAAAAGCACAGAGTGGGGAATTCCCTGGTGGTCCAGTGGTTAGGACTCTGCTTTCTTACTGTGGAAGGCCCAGGTTCAATCTCTGGTTGGGGAACTAAGATTTCACAAGCCACATGCCTCCCCAAAAAGCTGAGTGTATACAGCGGAAAATAGGATTCAGTTCTGTTTAAGAGCTGACTGAGCAGGGGCTAAGGGCAGCACAGTGAGCGGCTGGAGGAGAGGAGCAGAGGGGAGCCAGTGGGAAACACGGGGCACTGGGTCCTGCCCATCGGGGTCACCAGTTCTGCCAGCTGCCTCTGCAGCCTCTTCCCAGGGAGACTGGCCAGACCTCTCAGGACAGGCCGAGAGCAGGACGTTGTTTCTGACATGTACGGCACGGATCAGAGCAATGTTACCTGCAAGGCTGGAGGACACGCCCCCACGCCTGTAACCGGGGGCCTCACCTGGAAGGCGGCCCCAGGAGCAGCTCACACGCCTCTAAAGCAAGGGCTGCCCAATCTGGGAGACTTGATAAAGCTGAAGGACGTTTCTAATCACAAGAGAACTGTGACCTGAGACAGGGGACTTGGCTTTTTACTTGAACACACTTCTTCACGGAAACAAAGGTAATGAGTTCCCAAATC